GCTGAAGCAGCCGCACTGTGCGGCCCTGAGGGAGGGCACAAACACGCGCCGGTGTGGCTTCAACCCAAAAAAGACTTTGCGCGGAGAAAGTGCGGCCCTGAGGGAGGGCACAAACACGCGCCGGGGGGGGTTCAACCCAAAAAAGCCTTTGAGCGGAGAAAGTTCAGTGGCGAGCATCCCCTGTCCTCCAGCAGCCCCACGGGAACATGGGCAGCCCTGGCTCTGCCACACCCCAGGGGACGAGGAGATGGAGATGATGGAGATGGAGATGGAGATGGAGGGGCTGGGCTGAGACTCACAGGCATTCATGGGGAAGAGGAACTGACGTGGGGAGGGGAATCCCAGCGGCCCCCGAAACCAGGGGCAGGAGCTCCGGGAACTGTGTTTTTGGGGTGTTTGGGGAGAACGGCAGGGAGGGGGCTTGAGCTGTGTCGCAGTGGGGGTCCCGCCTTGGTCGCCGGCGGTAGGTGGGAGAAGCATTTCTAGGTGGCTTTTAAACACATCAGGCTCTTTTCGCCCTTCTCCATTCTCCAAATTCCCCGGGAAAGGGTGAAACCCGCAGGAGCTGTGTCACCGTGGGGTGGCCCCGGGAGCGGGGGGACGCGGTGGGAGGGGAGGTGCAGGCTGGCATACTGCACCGTTTCCTAGAAGGAGCAGAAAAAGTCCCAAACCACCAAAAGAAATTACCCCTGCTCCATCAGGGTTTGAAAAGGGCATTGAAGCCTCAGTGGGGGCCCCCGCACCCCCAAGCTGGAAGACGCCGGGTGCCGGTGGCTGTGTCCCTGCAGCCTCTTGGGTTCACAGGGGATGTTTTTCACCAGGAGCAAAAATAAACCCAAGGCTCTTTTTTTTTAAGCCACCACTGGCAAAGTGCACTCTCCCCGCTCCGGTGCTTTCCCAGAAGGGCTGCCGGGTCCTGCCTGTGGTCCCAGAACGGGGTCCGGGAGCTGCTGGCCACCGGCCTGGCCACACTGTGCAAGGGAGAGGGGAGCGCGTGCTGCGCTGGTGACCATCCCGGGTGGCCATCCCCTTGTCCCAGGAACGGCTGTCACCTCCTGCAGGGAGTCCCAGAGCCCAAAACCAGAGTGGGGCAACTCACCACCCTGTTCCCCCAGCACGAGAGGAGGCGGGTGGTGGGTGAGGGTTGGGGGGCTGCCAGGGTCCCCCCGGGGGAGGATGTGGCCCCAGACGCACCAGCTGTCCTGGGGGCAAAAAAGAAAAGAAAAAAAAGCACATTTCAGAGGGCCTGGAAAGCTGCTCAGGACAAGGGACAGAGGAGCAGGTGGCCACGGGGCTGCCAAGGTCGGGGGGGGCTGAGCGCGATGGCAGAGCTGCTCAGGGACACATCCTGTGTCCCCAACCCCGAAGGTGCAAGGGGGGACAAGCAGGGGATGAGGCAGCGGCTCCTGGGGGTGGGAGACGCAGGCAGCGGCCCCTCTGGAGGGGTGGTCCATGCCGCGGCTCTCCGGCGCTGGTGCAGCCGTGGGACAGTGTCCGGAGCAGCCGTGAGCAGCACCTCTGCTGAGCCGCCCCGGCCGAGGGGTCAGGGCAGGGGAAGGACCTGCTTTGGTACAGCAAAGCCCCAGCGATGCTCTGAGCATCTGCTGATTGGGGAGATGGATCGGGGACGTGCCTGTCCTCACCCAGCGGGGATGTGGATCCCACACAGACCCCAGGGACATCTCTCGGGTGAAGCCACACTCCTGCAGATGCTGTGGGAGACCCCCAGATCCCACTCCCTGGGGCTGGTTTCCACGGGCCTGTGCAGTCGCCGCCACTACTTCTCAACTTTGGAAACCAACGGCCAATTTTAAGCAAACCCTAATGGGAATTGACATCCGAAAGCTCCCAAGCTCCTCGACCTTCAGGGGCCGGAGGAGCCCAGCAGGGAGAGGGCGCAGGGTGAGCCATCGTTTCCTCGGGAGCAGCGGGTGACACCACGCTGTGCCAAAGGAAAGAAATATTTCCCTTCGGCCATACGGCCCGGGCAGAGCGCCCTGCAGCCCGTGCCCGCTCCAGCTCCAGGGCGGATGCCATCTGTGTTTTTTTGGGAAGGGCTCAGCCCTGCAGAGGGGAGGCTGCTGGAGCTGCAGGCACGTTCCCTGCTTGAACTCAGGAGATCCACAAATCTGTTCTCCTTCAGGCTCTCACCAAAGCCTTCACAACACCTCGGTCCACGCACCCCACCGGCACCAGGGGAGACGAGCGGTAAAATCACCAACAGGTCCAGGTGGCAGCGAAACCCGCTCTGCCAGGCTGGGCTCAGCTCTGGGTGCTCGCTGCAGCCCTCAGCTCGCTTGTGACGAGGCAGCTGTGGCTCACGGGGGAGTAAACAGGAGATGAGCGCAGGGTGCTGCCCGGGTGGCGGAGGGGAAAAGGCGGAGGCAGAAGCGGAGAAAGGCCGAGCGGCGGCTACGGCGGCTCTGCAAACCTGTCTGGGCAACATCCTGCACTGCCGCACGCCGGGGAGGACGCGCTCGGCTGCGGTGGCAACTCCCCGGTGGCTCTTGTCCCCTAAAGGTGCTTTTCCTCCTCCTCCTCCCCCCTCGGTTGAGACGATCTTGCGTGGAAGCAGACAGATCTTCCCCCCCGAAAAAAGGAAGGAACAGCAGAGGGAGGCAGGGCCCCGCAGCCCCGGGGGTGACAGCCGATGGGTGCCACAGCCCCCCCCCACAGTGCTGACCTGACGGCACCCGAGGTCGGCGTGAAAAGGGAAAGTGAGTGAAAAGCAGATGAAAAGCAACACAAGCGGACCCGGCACGGCTCAGCGCCCGCTCACAGCCCCACCACAACCTGGCACAACCCGGGGGTTTGCACCCTTCCCCGCTTGTGCACAGGATCCAGCCCCGCTCCTGGAGCACACCGGGGCTGGGGGGACTGCTGCACCCCCTCCCGAGCCGCGGTGGGTCTGCGCTCCATGGCACCGTGGGGCCACACTGCACCCTCCAGCGGCACCTGGCCCCAGGGCAGACATGGTTCCAGCTGAGCTGTACCCACAAAAATCCAGGAGAGCATCCGGAGGGGGCTCGGGAGCGCCCAGCACCTCCACCACGCGCAGGCAGTGCGCAAGACCTGGCGCTGCAGCGGTGCACGGCCAGGACTGGTACAGCCAGGAGCGACGGCTGTGTCACTCCCCTCCTGGCCAGGAAAAGAACTCGGGGACCCCAAATGCAGAGCTTTGGCTAATTTAGTCCATCAGCCTCTGCAGCTGTGCCCACGGCTCCTTTCAGTGGCAAAGAGCTCATTCACAAGCTGGTAAAAGCCTGAATTCACCTCCCCTGTCCACATCCACCCAAGTTTTTGAGCTGGGAGAATCAACCCTTGGGTCCAGGGACATTGCAGAGACAAGTCGGGACAACCTTCAGCGCCCGCCCGCTCTGCCCCACGGCCCTGGGAAGAAGCGTGGGGCTCGGAGCAGCCCGGCCGCGGCACCTGGAGAGCAGGAGGAACCAAACCTTACGGCAGCAGAGCCAGGAGCACACACCCAAGAGCTTTCAGCAACTGTAGGAAAGAGCTCTCCAGCGCACTTCCCGAGGAGTCCAAACACACCATGTTTGTTTTGCTGATAGAATGCCTCTGCCGAACACGTAATCACGAGACATTTAGCAATCGGAGCGTGCTATGTAAATACAACATAATTTATTGGTTCCATTTCAGAAAACGATAGTGGTATTTGTACGAGTGTCCTAATGATAGTACAAGAAACGAGAGTCACGTATGTACAGAGATTCCAGGACACAGAGAAAACTTTGTAAGGAAGAAGCGGTTAGTGGTACAGTTTGGTCACCGTTCATAAAAACCTTTTACTGTAAACCCTGCTCACCCACTCCCCCCAAATTCTAGGTAGACCTTATCTACCTACCTCGGGGGCACTGCAAAGCTCTCGTCGTGCAGCAGAGTTGCTTGTGCAAGCAGCAGGCGAGGCTGGCGGTCTCTGGCTGCACACCAGAGACTTTGGTTACCAGATATGAGCAGCTGAACGGGGACGCGCTGCTCGGGAAGAGGGAGAAGGCTCCGTACCCTAATGGGAAGCAGAAAATGGTCCACACGCAGGCAGTGACGCTGGAGGGCGAGCAGCCACTTCCTTCTCGGCAGGGGCAGCGTACCACAAGGAGACGGGGAAGTGCAGGTGTTTGAGAAGAAGCCTTCCCCGCGCCTGTCCCAGCACCTTCCCGCTGCTCGTTCCCACCAGGCACAGGTCTGCTCGGCCTAACGCTGCCACCACGGATCCCTGTCCCCTGTGGGGACATCGCACCCAGAGCCGCTGCTGGGCTGTGTCCGGGGAGAAGCTCAGCTCAGAGCTGGTGTAAGAGGCAAGAGCAGGTTCACACCAGCAGCACCGACTCCATCAGCAGCGGCAGCGCTGGTCTCGCCATCGGAGAAACCCGAGTCCAACTTCTTTCAGAGGGAGCGGGAGGAGGGCCAGGCCTTGGGGACAGGATGCCAAGTGGAGGGCGAGCACGAAGGCAGCTCTGTCCCAAAACTGGACTCACTGCCAGTAGAAGAGGCGCTGGAAGTAAACAGCACCCCAGGGGATCTACGCACACCAGCATTTCTTCCCCAAACCCCACATAACGTCCCTTCACGGGTGGGAAATGGGTGTCCGGAGGGAAGTACCGCTTCCAAGGCAGCACCAGCTACACGACACGGCTCTATCTGAAGCATCTGGCTCGGCTCGCTTGGTGCCACTGCGGTGAGGGGACAGGGAAGAGACACTACAGGGTGGCTCTTCCCTCCTCAAAGAGCGAGCGTTTCCACCAAGGGGCCCAAAATATTTTCTTTTTTTTTTTTATAGAAATTACTATAAAAAACTAGTTTATCTAGAGCATCTTTAAAAAAATATTCCTGCAATATCACAGTTTTACATTGAAACTCATCAAAAATATATAGATATCTTTAACAAAACGTCTCTGTTCTCCCCTTGAATCACGTCTCCAATGCAGGAGTGGGACTCGGGGTCCCCGGAAGAGACGCCGAGGTGGGAGCAGGAAGGTGTGATCTCAGTGGCACATCCGGGAGGTCATTTCCTTCTGTCAAAGGGACAGACAAGACAAGGCACCATGAATGAAGATCCAGATTGCCCGGTGAAGGTGTGGATGAAAAAAACCTCACCTTTGTTTAGTCGTAAATACCCTTCTCAGGCATGTGGTGACACTGTTACCAAGAGCTCCGGTTTGGGCAGGTCCGTGTTCCCCCCACCACTCCCATTCCCACACACCGCAGGACACCCTTCCACTGCCCAACAGCTCCGCAGGTCTGCTCTGCTGCTTACGGCTTTAGAAACACCATCACCACCTCCTTGGTCTAACAGGTCACATTCTCCATCTTCCAGACTCCTTGTGAAGGTGGTGGTGGTGTCGTTGCTTTTCAGCATGGGAAGGAAGCATGGGGAGGGGGTTTTAGACATCCATAAGGATGTGGACCTGTTGGAACGGGGCCAGAGGAGGCCCCGGAGATGCTGAGAGGAATGGAGCCCCTCTGCTGGGAGGACAGGCTGGGAGAGTTGGGGGGGGTCAGCCTGGAGAAGAGAAGGCGAAAAAGGGGAGGCCTGAGAGCCCCTTCCAGTGCCTAAAGGGGCTCCAGGAGAGCTGGGGAGGGACTCTGGATCAGGGAGGGGAGCCGTGGGACGAGAGCCGTGGGACGAGGGGTGACAGTTTTAAACTAAAAGAGGGGAGATTTAGATGAAATATGAGGAAGAAATTCTTTGCTGTGCGGGTGGTGAGCCCCTGGGGCAGGTTGCCCTGAGAAGCTGTGGCTGCCCCATCCCTGGCGGTGTTCAAGGCCAGGTTGGACGGGGCTTGGAGCAACCGGGGCTGGTGGGAGGTGTCCCTGCCCAGGGCAGGGGGTGGCACTGGGTGAGCTTTAAGGTCCCTTCCAACCCAAACCAGTCTATGATTCCACGATTCTAGGATCCACATCCTGGACAGCTAACAGGGCCGGGCTCATGCAGTTCACACGAACAAGGCAAGCTAGAAACACAAGGAGGTTGCTGGAGAACAAGTCAACTTGCCCCAACTGATGCCCAAATGACCGTGCTCAGATGTGCCTGCATGTCTTGACTCCCAGTTCCCTGACAGTCAAACTGTGAGGCCAACTGATTTCTTCAATTTGGGCAACCAGTTTTGAGAAGGTATCAGAGACCTCTGTGACTCCTCCGCTCCCAGCCCAACCCTTCTGCGCTGGCTGCGCACCCCGACAGACCACCGTGTGCCCTGAGCCCACCCAGACACTCACCAGTGGTTCCAGCTCCTTGGTGTCTATGAGATTGAACTCTTTCACAAAGTAGTAAAAGTGCTTGTAGCAGGTGTTCACGTGGGCTTCCGACCCCATCTGGGTGATCCTGTCGAAATGGTGGATGTAGACGTGGACAAAGACCCGGAAGAGCCTGGAGAGAATCTTCTTCACCACCGGGAGAAAGTTCTTCGGGAAGGGAGTACCTGGGAGGAAAGACACGACCAGGAGAAACTTTCAGCAAAGTTAAAACTGGTTCCTTGGGGCTAAAATAAATTGATAAAATGGATGGACTGAGACAAAAGGGAAAAAGGGTTCTACCCCCGGTAATTTCCAGTTCCCCTCTCCTTTTTCCTTTCCATTTTGGATCAGATTTTTCTAAGCACAGATTTCTTAAGTGACAGAGTGCTGCACACCATCGATCGCTGCTAGCAACTGAAAACAAGAGACCAGCCTCAGAGATTCCCAGCAGCTGTTTCAGTCTGATAGTTTTCTTCTACTCCTGTTCAGCATGTTTACATAAACAGCACAAAATACTAGATACGACCGAGCAACTTCCCAAAAGAAAGAGTCGATGCTCTTAACTCCCCACAGTAATCTCTTATTTTGATATGTCCTTAGCTCTTTGGTTAAAAATTAAAGACGTTAAGGTTCTCTTAAAGGAATCAGTTCTTCAGGATTTGTTTAGCCAGGGCCCTGCAGCGGAGCGGTCTGGCCAACCAGCCATCTCAGTAGAATATTACAGTTTAAAGTCCACACAGGTCTTTTCTGGAGGAATGAGGATCAGTTAAACCCTTTCAGTGCTCTGCACGAACTGCAGTCTGTGTTAAGGACGAGGAATCTGGTAAAAGCTGAGCTGAAAACAACAACAATTAAAAAAAAACCCCACAAACCCACAACCCTTCTGCTGTCGGAAACTTGTCTTGCCTCCCCAAACAGAACAAACACCCTGCTTAGAGTCCCCAGAGAGTCTTGCAGAAGAGTCCGAACTAAAGGCAACGGCAGCAGTTGTTTGGGCAACAGGAGGAACGGGTGAGGAGGATTTCAGCGTCTCAGCTGTCTGGAGAACGGGCTGTTTATGGCCCCGCTCCCCCCCTCTGCCTGTTCACGCCAGGTTTAAGCGGCAATTTGGCACGGGTGAAGGAACCCCATGGATGCTCGTGTGGCAGAAGCAGCAGACGTGTCCCCAACGGAGGCCAACTGCATCCCATCAGAGCTCCAACAGGATAAACAGCAGGGCAGGAGGGAGGGAGCTCTGCTGCATCTTGGCTTTAGCACCCCAGAAGACGGGAGCTCTGAATGGGATCAATCCCATTTACCTAATGCTTTGGATACGGAATTCTCACATCTTATTCAGCGCAAACCAAACAAAAACCCCAACGATCTTTGTCCCAAAGCCAGTACACGAAGCTGCGTTTGGATATGTAGATTTAGGTGTCTTAGGCCAAATTCTCATTTCCATCACCCTGGCAATAGATAAAACACCACCCCTCCCTCCATGCACATGTCAGCATCCCACCCAGCTGCAACAAACAGCCGAGTGCACGCCAGGAAGCACTGAGCTAGAAAGGGCAGAGTCAGCTAACGCCAGCCTGTAATAACAAAAAGGCTAATTATGGAAATGTGGCCACCATCACCAGGCTGATGCAGAGCACGCGGGCTGAACCCAAGCTAGCAATCAGCTGTAAAAGAGCTGTCCATCAGGGGACCACGTCCAGCATGAACTACTCAAGAGTCATGTCAGAGACTGACTTTTCTAAGAGCAGCCTCTTGTTTTCGCTGCCTAGGCTCAGCTTGGCTTTCCTCGAGGTATCCATGACTCCAAACGGGATCTGGTACAGCTCTGGGTGTTTTAGCACTCTGGAAGAGCTCCGAAGTTTCCCAGGTGCTCAGAAGAGCTTACTACACTGCCAGCCTCTGGGCAGCACAAAAGGAGATGGCTCTGCTACGCGGGTGACCTGGGCAACAGCATCTCCTGGAACAGAAATGGGACCTGGGGGCTCAAAGGAGAAGGCTCTGCACCAGCCTCCCTCCCTCCAGCTGCAACTGGAACTGAACTCACCAACATTAGTGGGAAAGATGTCCTCGTTGTTGATCTGTACCTCAATCCAGTCCATCAGGAGGTTCATGTACTGGGGAGCAGACAGGGCCGTGGGTTTCCGGTACTTGTGCTCGTCCTGCCATCGGTACTCGTACTTGGGTCCCCCCGACATGACGGGGCAGGACTGCTCTGTGCAATAGTCACTGATGGTGCCGTAGATCAGGTTGATGCGGTTGAAGAAGTCCACCACATGTACGGCCACCCAGTCGTTCTGCTCCTCTCCCGGCGGCAGCTGGACGGCAACTTTCAAGTCCAGGCCAGCGTTGAGCGAGGCTTGAGCCTTCTTGTGCAGCTCAAACCGCTGAGTCCCCGGCTCAAACTTGCGCTTGGGCCGGAAGGTTTTGTCTTTATTGAACACTTGCTTTAAAGCATGGGACATTTTTCTTCTCTTCTTTCTTTTCCAGGTCCGTAGCGATGACAGCCGGAGACGCAGCGCTGCTGGGCCACTTCCCGGGGCAGGGCTGGGGCGACTCTGATCTTCACAGAAACCTCCCTCTGCTCATCTGGTCCTGATCTGCAACACAGCACAGAAGGGCAGCGATTAGGAGCAGCTCTCTCAACAGGAAACCTTGTCTAAATCCCATAGGAAGAGATCTGGGATACCATCTGGGCCCTCGCCCCAGATCTGAGAAGGGGGGGAAGCCAACGCCAGCTTTCCTTCCTCCCCCGTCCCTTTACAGCCCGGCTCGCAGCAGAGGGGAGCTGGGCTGAACCAAGAGTCACCCCCACGAGGTCTCCCTTGCTCAACGTGGGGATGAGGGACCCACCCAACAACGTGGGGATGAGGGACCCATAGGGAAGAGGCGCGACGGGAAGGAGCAAAACAAGACGTCGAGGCGTAGTCCCCCCGTGCCCCCCAGCACCCCCTCGGCAGATGGCAGCTGCCATTCACCCCGACATCACCACACCGAGAGACCCAAACCCCACAGAAACAAGGAGAAACTCCACCACCTATTCACCTCCAATACACCAAATAGTTAAGAAGGATAAAACAAGTTGGGTTTTACCTGGATCAGACTTTTCACCTACGCTTCCCCCCCTCCTCTTTGGAAACAAGCCTACCGAAAAGGTAAGGTCATGACAACCTACAATAAAGTCCAGATCTGTTGCTGAACGTACTCCAACAAAACAGCCGTTTGAGCAGGAGCTGCGTGCGCTGTCGCAGTGCTAAAGACAGGACACAAAAGGGCAGAGGGGAACAAGAAGAAAAAGAAGAAGAAGTCGCAGCTCAGGCACCCGGAAAGAGAATATCCTGAAATAACACCAGCCCTAAGAGCAGCCACAGCCTCTTCTGCAGCTGCAGACAGACCATAAACATATTTTTCATTTCAGTTTAGCTCACTTCAAGTTGAAGGCTGGTTGAAAGCTGGAAGACCAGGGAAAGCTCGCCTTCCTCTTCCAGTGTGTGAAAAAGAATTAGCTCCGAGAGGGTGAGACACAAGTTGAGATCTGAAAGGATGCTGACGAGAAACACAGCGCTGTTTATCTGTAGCTAATTATACCTCCTTTGTTCCCACATCCATCTCCTCGTATAATTTGTGTCAAGCTGCTCTTTGATGGCAGCTTAAGGCAGAAAGCTATGTGTACCAAAAATATTATTTTACATGTGCTGGACAGAGAAATAAATAAAGGAACAGAAATTAACTAAAGCTGATGCCTTACCCAATCTGGCAAATAAGAGTTTCCATAATTTTACAAGAAAGCAAGCAAACAAATCCCTTTCACCAAGCAGAAATCTATGTAGATTTATACGAAGCCATAGTGTTGTTCAAGTAGGTAAATAGTATTCTCAAACGTTGGCAAGAAAATCCCAAATTCAAGGTCAAGACTACCTCTGCCACAATTCAGCCTGTCTCTAACAGATGCTGCATAGCGCTAATCAGCATTTCTTCTCTGGAGAAAGATTAAAAAGATTTAAACCAAGGCCTCTTGTTTCCTCATTTAATTACAGCAAGGAAGAAAACCCAAACCGCTTCAGTTCGTCCCACTAAGAACAGGCTCAACATTTCCCAGCGCTGCTTCTCCTGCAGGAACGGGCTCAGTAACCTCTTCTGTGCAGGAGCGGAGAGATCCAAACTCCTGTTGCAACACAGGCCACGACACGTGTTGGGAGAAACCGAAAAAGCATTTTAATGTGGTTCAGCGAGATTGACCCTGGGCTGTGAGGCGAGTTCACTGCACGCATGCTTCCGCTGCACACACGGCTGCTGCGACCCCGCAAGCTACCGTGTGAGAGTCAAAAGAAAAGAAGAAAAATAAGAAAACCCCCAGAGAACGTGTCCTTACGAGGTGTTTGGTCACACCACAGACATGGTTAGAGGAAGCAGCGAATGGTGCGGAGGGACATCTGAGCACGAGGCAGCAGCTTTGGTTACCGAGAGCTGTGTCACAGCCTCACCACATCCTGCGGCAAAACACTGAGGCGATCCGGCAGGGGCGGAAGCACCAGGGGACTGCACCCACCCCGCCACGGTGCCACGTCCGGAGCGAAGGCAGGACCGGCCTCCCGACAACCGACAATGTGGACAGCAGGTGCTGAGTCTGCAGCTCTTTCCAGCAGGAAATCAGTCCCAGAGAAGCACTTGCACGCAATGATTTCCTTACACTGGAGATGGAGAAAGAAATGGCCTTTAACACAAATAAGCCATAAAGAAGCATAAGCGTCGCCCTCCATACAGCGCCCCGGAGGACTGGCAGCATCCTTGGTGCGGTATGACTGTTTCTGCTCATTTTCTGGAGGATCTGACCAATTGCTCTGGCCGTGCTCGCATCCGTGCCGACCCAAGACTGCAGCCAGGCACCGTCCCTGCCGCTGGATAAGGATGCGTTCCTCGAGCAGGGGTCAGGCTGCGGCCGCAGGGCCCCGCATGGAGAAAAGGATGGGGTGAAATGGCAAAACTGCAGGGAAAAACCAACCCTAACATCCCCTGGGCCTGGCCACACATCAAGAAGCAAACACTGACCATTTTCCAGAAGAAATTGTCATTTAAGTAGGGTGAAGAGGCTTTTAATATGGCTTATTTGGTATCAAGGCAGTACCTGTGCTACAAACAAACTTCCTCTTCCTATGGAGACATCATTCATGAGAACTGGGGAGCTCGACACAGCAGCAATCGTCTCTCAGACGATTCAGCATCTGTCTGAAAGCATTAGCAAAATGAGTAGCTAAGACTTCAAGCAGATGCAGCCTATTTAATTATGGCCTTTGACTGCAACTGAGCTAAAAGAAACGTTTAGCTCTAGGAAAAAAGAAAAAAAAAAAAAAAGAAAAGGCAGAGAGACCAAAAGCATCCCTGACATTGCTCGAAGATGATATCACACGTACAACACCTACTTCCACAGGCAGGAGTCACAGCTCGGGCAGCACTCAGACACTGCCTTCACGCAGAAGAGAAAGGCAAGGTTAGGAACACTCAGGACATGGGACATGCAAAGCACCTGAATGGTATTTGCAAGCTTTAAAGATGAGGGAAAAAAAAAATATCCCCCTCCTAAAAGCCCTGCAGTACATTTTGTTTACGCCTCCTTTCCAGCCAGCCAAGATTACAGCACACGTCAGCGGTGCTCCGAGAGGACCTTGGCCATCCCTCCGAGATCACACAACCGCCGCAGAAGCCCCACGCCGTGGGAGGCCGTCCGGAGCACAAACAAACCTCCGGCTTCTCCGCTGCTCCCAAGGACAGGAGAGGAGCGGCTCGGTGCTGTGCCGGTTAAGGAGGCGACTTGCCTGCCCAGCAGTAAGGAGTGTCGAGGTCTGGCCCTCCCCTCCCAAAAGCTCGTTTTCTCCCCTTTCTCCCCTGCTCTCACAGCTCCAGCCCCAACACCCACTTCTGCCGGCGGCAATCCAGGGCAGGGCTCTGTCGTTCCTCTTCCCTCGCCGGGAACGGCCCGTCACGCCGTGCTGCCTTACTTTAAAAGCAGGCTCCGGGCAGAGGAAGCCCAGGCGGTCGCTTCCCCGGCTCGTGGGTACTTTTACACACAGCTCAGAGAGGGTACGGAGAAAGGAAAGACAGTCACCTCTGCTGAAACAGCGGGATAACGCCTCCCCTCCTTCCAGCATCCCAGCCGGATCCTGCCCTCCCCGCAGAGGCAGAACGGCTGAATCCCTCTTCCAGGAGTCCCATGACTGCTCCGTCAGCGCCTGCCCCGAGCGACACCCAGCACGCCCCTCTGCCGCTAACACCGTGCAGGGCTTTAACAACAGCCAGGAAAACGGGAAAAAAAACCAAAACCACCAAAAACCAAACCAAAAAAGCAAGCCAGCACGTCAGCAAGCTCCTACCTGCGCTTCTACCCTTGGCAGATTACTCGGCGATTGCTCAGCCCTTCTCTGCAACTTCTACGAGCGCTCGTAGGCACTGAGGCGAAGAGCTTCCTTTTTCAAAAAGGGGGGGGAAGAAAAAAAAAAAAAAAAAAGTCTGGTTTCATGCAGGGCTGCAATCCGAAGGCTCCCGCAGGCTGGGGAGGGGTCAGAGACGCGGCCACTTCCCTCCCGGTGACCCCAGCGCCGGGGCGGCTCACATCCTGCTGCCTCGCTGTTAAGAAAACCCTTAAGCAAACCCCAGGGAGCAATGCATTGCTCAAAATAATTGATTTTTCTAGTTGCCTTTTAGGGAAGCCACGCTGCTGTCCTGCGAGACGATACCAATATGGTATTGCTGCTCAGCGTTCACACCGAGACCGGCCGAAAGCTCCTTCTGCGGCTGCTTATAATTACAGCCCTTCGGTGACGAGCCTGTGCCGGGCACCCCGTCCCCGCGGCTCCCCGGAAGGGAGAGGGGAGCAGCGAACCCCCGCCTTCCCCCCGAGCCGTTTTCAGTGTCCTCACTCACCGCTAATGCCGTCGCTCAGGCCAGAGCTTCCAATACAGGACACAAAACCACCCGTGCCAGTTGGATAAAGCAGCCACAAGATATCAGATGCATCGAGCGCTTCAAGTAAAAAAGGAATTTACAGAGCATGCCCGAGAAGCAAAACAGCTTCAAAACAGACAACTTAAACAAAAAAAAGCAAAGACGGACACACACGCACGTTTTTTCCATGACTCCCCCCTCCTCCTTTCACAAATACCTTCTCACGGCCATTCTGCACTAGTTCAGTTTCTCGGTACAAGACAATCTCGGGGTTTCCTATGATCAAAGGAGAGATTTTAATACGGAGAGCGAGGATCAGACCAACTACCGCAAGCAGGGCTGGACCGGCCCTAATGACAGCCAGTTTCTGCACCTCTGGAGCCAGTCTGGCAACCAACAAGACAGCTCTCCTTCACGGGACGAGGTTTTCGGCTGCTCTTTTGAACTGTTTTACTACATGAGAAACGAAGGTCTGTCCCCGAGCTTACCTCGGCCAGGGCAGAGCACAGCGAGGAGCGCGCGGGGCGGAGGAGGAGGGCCGAGCGCGGCCGGCACGCCTGGCCATTCATAATCCCGGCGAGACGACAATTCCACGTCAGCCGGCTTCCTGTCTGGCACCCGGTCCGGCCTCCCGGCCCAGCGAGCTGCCAAGGCTTTCCCAAAAG